AACTGGTATCAGTATGTTGTTACTTCGGCATCATATTGAAACGTGTATTACAATGAAATCACGGTCAAATATGTTCATTTTGTTGTAGTTGCCAGCGATTCTCTCACTAGTTTTTTTCAGCCGGGAAATAACCTCGATTTTGGAGAGCCAGAAAACTGTGAAAAAGTACCCGCTAGCCGGAACTACGCCTAGTGGAAACGGAACCAAAAACGGGCCGGGCACGGCACGCTTAAACCGCGCTCCGCGCTGTAGTGAAAATGCGCCATTAGTGTCTTGCTGTCATTGCTGGGTAGGGGTTTGAACTCTTAATTTTGCCTAAATGATTGCCTTATGTGTACCTAAGCCTTTTTTGTTTTGTTTGAACGACCGATCTCACACCTCAACTCCGAAGCCTTATATTCAAAGCGAGCAAGGAAGGTACTCAAACATCTATATCCAAGTCTAATGTCAGGCTCAGAGACGTTTGCTCTACCAATTAGTCACGATAAGGCTTCTGATCCTAATATTGGTTTTGATTCTTGACTTTTTCATTGCTCAAATGAAATTATCAAATGATTCGAAGCCAGCTAGTAATTGCTTCACCGTGTTACAGCATGGTAGCACCAGGCTCTCTATGCCATGATGCAGCTGTAGTGTAATGCATTTATTCTGATAAAAAAGATAAACAGGATTCACACTGCACCTACAAACACTTTAATTTCAAAATGTCTATGAATAATCTGGCAAATCGTCACACATCTTGCAGCACATATAAAAGCAAGTAGCAGTTGGAAAGAAGACTCTCACTAAGACTGTGCTGAGGCTGTTTCACATGGGAAAAGGTGCTCTGCCCACGCCCACGCTGCTGTGCACATACAGTATTCTGCTGTTACTGCACTCTCATCTCCTCTCACTCCCTGCAGCCTCAAATACATGCGTTATCTCCCGCATACACACACACACACACACACATCTTTACCCATACATGCTCTCTGCAATTAGCACATATGTATAAGAGAAAGATGTTCATTCGTCACATGCAGATTTCACACATGTACATGCACAAGTAGAATCATTCTCTCACTGACACTAACACACACCCTCTTGTATTTACTGTAAGTGTCCTTTGAGACCATTTGGCATGCTACCCTCTTTATAGCTCACCTCAACCAGCATTTGATGGTCACTTTAACAGGCATCATCTAATATTTATTGACCCGCTCCGCTGAGGGTTTAATGCTGGCCGTTGGGCCCGACCCGTGCTGTGGTTAACCTCTCAGAGTTTAGCGTATCATGGCGCTTTACCGGCATGAAACTCCATTTCTCTGACTTCTTGAAGATTTGTTCTCACACCGCGAGCTATCCCCTTCAGTCATGGTTTGAAAGGATCCCGCTTTGACAGCTCTGCATCTCAATTGTTAACATGTTTTGCAAAAGAGGTACTTCTTTTTGTACCTATATCTCAACATCATGTTGGTGGAAGCAGTCGGAAACGTATCACTTGCATGGTAACTCAGGTGCAATTCTTCTGCGGTGACAATACAAAAAGGACCTGCATAGTGTTGAAGTATTATGTCATAATATGGAGTAGTATTATGTGACAGTTCCCCTATCATTTTACTGTTAATTAAAGTCCATTTCCTCTATGTTAAGCCATCCCTCTTTGTCATCTCTGAAATGAAGTCCACTTGTAGTCTTGTCTACTTTCACTCTTACACCTAAATGTTTCCAGATTACTTGAGAAGATGCTTAATAAACGGGTCTAGTGCAGCAAAACCCTAGCCAAACTCAAATATCTCAAATTATCTTCAACAAACAATCTGCGAAACAGACAGACTCTATTTGAAATTGACATAATAGACAGAAGTAGTATGATGATACTGGATAACAAAAAATTGTGCCAGGCAACTCACATTGGCAGCCGCGCAGGATCAGAGCTGATACAGATCATTTGGCATCTGACGTACAGTAGTAAGACCCTGGCGCTAGCCAATTGAAGTATGGACACAGCCCAATGGGATCTCACCAAGGACCTACAATTATTCAAATCGTCCAATAAATAGTAACATGTCAGTCCATGTTGCTTCATATTTAAACGTCTTTGATAGTTTGTAAGAAAGAAGTGTGAACTCCAAAACAAAGTGCTAAAATGCACATTTGTTTTCCATTTTGCGTGACCATATTCGAAGTGTAACTGACCCAGTAAATCACGATACCCGGAGACGTAGTTTTAGGTTTCCACGTTTGTAGAGAGGGATCTTTGGGCACTAGGCTGAGTTCTTAAAAGGTCATGAATAATTAATGTCACCCCTCTGACGGGGAGCTGGTGTGTGGAGACGAGAGGCCCCAACTTGAACCGGTGAGTTGGTTTTTTACTATGAGTCAAACTTCTACTTACAAGATGCCCAATTTGAGTATTCAAGGAAGGAAAAACTGACACAAAACTGTTCTTAGATCTTTATTTTTTGACAGGATGGGACTATTTCCCCTTAGACCGTTTCCATCATTTTCCCCAGAACACAATTATTGAGCTACATTAGCTAAGGTGTGTGTGTGTGTGTGTGTGTGTGTGTGTGTGTGTGTGTGTGTGTGTGTGTGTGTGTGTGTGTGTGTGTGTGTGTGTGTGTGTGTGTGGTGTGTGTGTGTGTGTGTGTGGTGTGTGTGTGTGTGTGTGTGTGTGTGTGTGTGGTGTGTGTGTGTGTGTGGTGTGTGTGTGTGTGTGTGTGTGTGTGTGTGTGTGTGTGTGTGTGTGTGTGTGTGTGTGTGTGTGTGTGTTGGTGTTGTGTGTGGTGTGTGTGGTGTGTGTGTGTGGTGTGTGTGTGTGTGTGTGTGTGTGTGTGTGTGTGTGTGTGTGTGTGTGTGTGTGTGGCACCACCCCTCCTGCTTCTGGTAATTGGATGTGACCCCCAACTTGACCGGCAACAATAATTGTACACACACATAAATTCACACACACACAATCTTGGGGGATTTTACGCCACTGGAATACGATTACAGCCCAATAACAGACGGCCTCTAAAGAAGGATTAGTGTTGGGACTGGCAACCTTCCTTTTTACTACATGGTCATTACAGACAGATGTGGCAACCTTAAAGCTTTAACCCCAAATACAACTCTTGGTTATTGTGTATGTGTGTGAGTTTACCATACCTAATTTAATTAGTTGGTATAAGGGGGAGGTTTCAAAAAGAGCCACTCTTAAAATGCACATACAACACGCAAGGCCTGAAATTAACACCTGCCAACCTCCTTAATATGGGTTGAAATTAATTTTGATAAATTACTATTGGACTCTAAATAAATGAAATATATCCTACTTTAATGGCTCTATTGTTTAAGGTCATATGAACAAATTCAAACGCGCCTGCTGTTTCCATTCATGCAGTGTTTAAGAGAGTGGAAAATAAAAAAGACATGCGAGTGAGGATTAATCGTAATATTACTCCCCTTAAACCTTTTAAGAAAATTGTTTTTTCTAAATGGAGGGGAGAGTCCTGCATATCAAATATTGTTGTCAATAAGTTTCAGAGTATGAGGTCTGGAAAGGTAGCAATGTGTATATATATATAAGGTTAAGTGTTCCCTGAAAAAAAAAAAAAGTGTACGGTAAATGACGGCTACAGAAATAATGTTGGGAAATGTTTTAAAATGTTATGTTTTATTATTTTAATTACGTTGAAGGTGGTCTTTATTTTGGGTTACATAAGGAATGAATACCATTTTCTGGTGTTAATGTTCATCTCAGTCTAAAAGTATAACGTTTAGGGATGGGTATCGAGAACCGGTACTAAGTATGTACCGGTACCTGATTGGACGGTATTGGTATACCGTTAAGCCGCTGGACAAACGGTGCTGCTATCGGTATATGAATTACGCTACTTCCCTAGTTTAAACCCTTATCGATAAGCGGTATCGGTATCGATAAAATCCTAACGATACCCATCCCTACTAACGTTATAGCAGTGGCGAACCGTGTCTATCACAACTGGACCTTCTGTAGACACACCCCCCCCCCCCCCGGCGTTATAATGTCCGTCTTTTCACTGAATTGTCGTCTTGAAAAGGGTACTCACAACAATTCCGCAACAACTTCATCTTCACCTGTTGCACTTGTCATTTCAACGTTAAAAACAATAAAACGGCATATGAATTGCTTCGTGGCATTTATCTAGATCCTCCGTCTCGAGCCAGTGAACTACCGGGCCTTCTAGAGTACCCTGGAACCGAGGGAAACTCTGAAAGAATACGCCCATTGGCTACAAATCAATATATGATTGGTTGATCAAACTGTCAGTCCAAACGTACGCTCTCATTCAGTGCAACGGCCAGGGCATTCTATCAAGGATATAGAATACCTTGGTTGAAGGATATTCTACCCAGAGACCCAGAACAAGATCTGATTGGTTGCTTTCTTTTCTAACACAAAACCACTGAAATGCGTAGTGCATGGACCGAGAAGGACAAACAAATCAACGTAACACTGTGATATTACAGATCAACAACACAGATACGATTCTCATTTATTCATTTTATATACATTTTATTACATTTTATTACATTTTATTTATATAATTAAATCGATTTTTTGTTTGTTTTATCTGAGTGTTCCAGGGTATTCTCTGAATACCTTGAAGGCCCTGACGGTTCGCCACTGCGTTATAGATTTATGATTTTGTCCCTTTTTCCCCCTTTTTTTTCATTTGAATGGAAGGGACTTTTTAATTGGTTATCTATATAAAATAAAAAGTCAATTTGGCTCATTTAAAATCAGAGTTTACAGTGAGTTTAACGCCTTCTCACTGGTAGAGAAAAATCATGCTCCTAAAAAATATATATATACAATAATAATAAGCTCAAAGATGCTTAAAAAAGTCAAAATAAACAGCTCTTGCTTACTGTATGTGAAATCCAATTGATGATCCGAGATTCCTTTTTGTTTGAATCCAAATGTCTCCTCTCACCTTTTCCCTCCCTTTTCTTATCTCCCCACCCCTCTGTATATCCTGTTTTCTTGCCTCCAGTCAAAGAGGGCAGGAATCTGGTTCCTATGGACCCCAACGGGCTGTCAGACCCCTACGTGAAGCTTAAACTGATCCCAGACCCCCGCAGCGAGAGTAAACAGAAGACCAAGACCATAAAGTGCTGCCTGAACCCCACCTGGAATGAGACCTTTAAATTGTAAGGCTTCATAACACCATGTTTGCTGCTTTCTTATTTTATTTATCCGTCTGTCTGTCTCTGCCTTTTTTCTCGGCGCTCCTTCCTTTAATAATTTAATCTCAGTTTCCTCTCTTCCATCTCTCTCACTCACCCAGTGCAGTTTTCTTTTTTTAAAAGCATCACATTATGCTCGTCTTATTTCCAAGCATGTGTAACCGCTGGCGCTCAGATAAAAACATCTGGCATATTATAATCATAAAACCTTGCTTTTGGGGTGGTTTCCTGCACTTGGCTCCAATTACATTCTTAATCAGCTTCATCACAGTTTGCATGGAGGGAGACTGGGATTTGCATTTGCATGCCATGTGGGTGCAGATGTTCCATTTGAAAGGTGGTTTTTTTTGCACCTATCCAACAAAGTAAAACCGGATATGACAGACAGTTTGCAGCCTGAATGTTACACAGAGACTTACCACAGACACCTACTACTTTATTTCTTGTATTTGGGAAGAGTGAGGAATCTGATTACCAGAGGAATTATGCTACAGTAGGCACATTGCAGGGACATTGTTATAACAGGAAAGATGAATTCAAGACTGCTCTAATGTTCTCAAGTGAATATGAGTTGTTACCATCATATCAGAGATACAGAAACCTACCATTAAATAAGGCTAGACTGAAGCAGTCTTTGTGCAGCAGTCAATCCTCAAATGAAATACATTTAGAGTTAAATCCCAAGTCAAATGTACTGTAGGTTAGAGAGTCTTTTACATATTGTCTTTGGTCATTGTAATATTATCTTAAATGTCTCTTTCTGTATAGTGTTTGTCCCTGTTGATGTTGCAAAGCGAGCTGCTGTGATGCAATATATTATTCTATCGTATCATATCTATCGAATCCTATCCTATCCTATCCTTTTGATAGTATTGTATCGTACCCTTTTGTAAATGCACAAAGTTGTGGCCACTGCTTTTTACATGTTTTGTATCTAATGTGGGTCTTTGTATCGTACAATCCTTTGACTGTTGAAATGAAAATGATTAAACATAACAAATATATATATATAAGAAACCCATTACTCTCAGCCTTCCTCCAACTGTTGATTGTCCTTGTCTCTCCCGCAGCCACCTAAAGGAGTACGATAAGGACCGCCGTCTGTCGGTGGAGATCTGGGACTGGGACCTGACCAGCCGCAACGACTTTATGGGATCGCTGTCATTCGGCATCTCGGAGCTCCAGAAACAAGGAGTGGATGGATGGTGAGATGAAAGGATGGACAGAGGGGGGGGGGGGGGGGGTGGTGGAGAGATGAGAGGCAGGGGAAGCAGCTCAGGTAGAGGAGGAGGGAGAGTGAAGGTGACCTTGTTCATTACTGCACTGTTGGAGAAATACTTTATTTGGAGCTCTTTATTTTATTCTGGTGAAACTCAGTGCCAACGCGTCTCTACCCTGTCTCTTTATCTCCGCTTCTTTATCTCTCCCTCTCTCGCTCAGACTCTATCTCTCCCTATCTCCCTCTCCTCCTCTCGTTCTGCTGACGCCGCTCTGTCAGGGTTTTTAATGAGATGCCAGCGTTGAGGTGGAGGTGGAGGGAGGCCATTAAAAACTTGATATTGAGAGTAAAGAGAATCCATGCAAGTGAGTGTGTTCTAGTACTCCATCTAAGTAAAGCTCCAAAGCCTCACAAGAAGTCACAGGAACAGATGAGGCTCCTGTGTTTCTTTGTTATTGCCCTCTATGGAAAGGATTTCAAATAATGTAAAGAGTCAAGCTTATGACACACTCATGTCTATCTGATTTGATCATTCTAAGTTGTACCATGTTTTCTGATTAGGTGAAATATCTCACATAAACCCAGTAACTCCATAACTATCCAAACAGAACAAAGTCATGCATCCTTAACAGCCAGGAGCGGATTCTATTGTTGAAAAAGCTGCAACCTGTAGGCAGTGTTTGATCGTCTTTCATTCCTTTTAGATGTTTCCACGGCACAAGAGAAGTGGCTTTAATCAAAATGTTTACATTAACAATAGATCACATAGCTACCTACGGCTCTTTGCTGTACACTTGAGTTGATGAGCTGTGTTTGTATATGTACCCTGACGAAAACGTACCAGTGGTAGATATCCCTGTGATTAAAGGATATTCAAATATTGCAAATGTGATAGGCTATGATTCGCAAAGCCTCTAAACACACCTATATGATATTACATGTCTTCTGGTCGTATCACATATCCGAGAGCCCAATGGGGAAACTACCAAAAGCCAACCCCAATTCACTGTGCAGGGCGCACTTGACTGTGGGTCATGCCACACCACAGGGTTCATGAAAGTAGTGCCTAAGACTGAAAGATTAAAATATTATTTGAAGTAAAATAAGTAAGTGTTATGAGATTGAACCTCTTCAAGCACCGATCTGATCTTAGTGCTGTGTACAGAGAGTCAGAATGTTACGTAATAAGCAGCAAATGGTATAAATGCAAAGTAATACATGTCATGTAACAAGTGAATAAGCAGATATCCATCAGACCAGAACAGGTTGCGGGATATATTCCTCAAAGCTACATCTCAGGACAAAACTGGTCGACTAGACGTAGATGTTGATTGTGGAAACAGTCTTTTTTTTGTCTAGTAACATACTTAACTTGCAGTAAAAATGCCTGATTAAAACAGGTTGTTAAGTTCTAACTCGGGTTGTGGGATTGTCGGCAGAAGCCACATAAAACTATTTAAAACTGCTTAAGTCTTTTGACGAAACTTCCCTATCATAAGGCGATTCATATTTACCATCAAACTCTGCTATAACTAAAAAGAATCAAACTAATGCTGATAACCAACAGAGCCACGCTTACTGAGAGGAAGAAACTTAAAGCGATATTAAAAGTTGATATCTGTGTCGCTAAATCGTAAACACCCAGAACAATGTTATTAACTATATGAATGTATGGGTGATGCTGTGAGGTATGAGCTTATAGCATCAGTCATAATGAGCCCAATGTGAGAAATTATCTCCTAATGATTTTGTTAAATGATAAGCATCTCGGCTGTGTTTTCCCCCGTCTCTGTCTGGCTTTGCTGGATCACCATGAAGGAGAGTGAATTACTAAATAATCATCTGATTATTCTTGAGGACTTTAAATCGCTGCGCTAACAGTCAGCAGCTTCGGCTAATGGAAGCAGTTAAACGCTTAAATTGTATAAACTAATTGGGAATTGATTTGACTGGAAATATTCTCTCTTTCTCTCTCCAGGTTTAAGCTGCTCTCCCAGGAAGAAGGCGAGTACTTCAATGTTCCCGTCGCTCCAGAAGGGGAGGAGGGCAACGAGGAGCTACGGCAGAAATTTGAGGTTTGTGCGCATATGTAACCTTATATACAAAGTCTATTGGGACTCACTGTATGTTGTACACTGTGAACTCTTGCTCAGTGTGGGAATGTCCTTGTCTTCAAACCCTCAGGAAGTGAGCCGGATTTTGTGAGCCGGATTTTGAAGCAAATTCTCTTAGTGGCCAAACGATGGTACTACAACTCCTGTGTCAGTCATTTGGGCCCAAAAATACTTTTTCCTATTGACTTACACTGGGGAAGAAATGTCTGTAAATCAGCAGATCACTTTTTTTGTTTAGCTTAATCAACGTCTGGGCAACCAGTGCCTTTATTTGAGTGACAGCTATGATAGGGGGAGACAGAGGGTAGGTCAAACGGCTTTGGCCCCAGTAAATCTACCCACTGAGCTATATGACAGCCCAGATCAGGGTATTTTTGTAATGAGAGCAAGTGCTATATTGCTTCATACACTATATTAAACACATGTATAACTTTTATTTGTTTAGTGTTGTCTTCACCGCGCAACAGCAATCACGGCTGTTTTTTTATCATCACGAGGGCACCATCTGGGTACTCGTAGTGCAATTATTATCATTGAGATGTACTTATGCACCTAAAAAGGCAAATATAGTTACAGAAGTACGCAAATTGAGACACAGTTATATCCTATTTGTTATTTTATGTGAGAAATGTGTGCCTGAATGTGTCGGTATGGTGAGCTTTTGAATGTGTGTGTGCACTATGCCTCTGTTGTGTCTGTGCGAGAGCCTCTCTGGGAGAGCTGTTAGCACTTGGCAGGCACACTTACAGTGCCATCCGGTCTGGCACACACTGTGTGTGTGTGTGTGTGTGTGTGTGTGTGTGTGTGTGTGTGTGTGTGTGTGTGTGTGTGTGTGTGTGTGTGTGTGTGTGTGTGTGTGTGTGTGTGTGTGTGTGTGTGTGTGTGTGTGTGTGTGTGTGTGTGTGTGTGTGTGTGTGTGTGTGTGTGTGTGTGTGTGTGTGTGTGTGTGTGTGTGTGTGTGTGTGTGTGTGTGTGTGTGTGTGGTGTGTGTGTGTGTGTGTGTGTGTGTGTGTGTGTGTGTGTGTGTGTGTGTGTGTGTGTGTGTGTGTGTGTGTGTGTGTGTGTGTGTGTGTGTGTGTGTGTGTGTGTGTGTGTGTGCGCCGTGGCGAGGATAACCCTGCTCTGCACGTTTCCTTTTCTTTCTTCTGTTTTCCTCGCTCCTTCTGTCTTTCTGAAACTAAAACATTAGTCATTCTGAAAAAGTGTTGATCAGAGAGATGTGTGAAACTGTGATGGGCAGTTTTATTAATTTTTTAGCATGTCCCTGTTTTAGCTCTGGTTGTAGTCAGAGGATTGCCAGAAGATATTGAGCTTAGCGTAAAGTCAGTAATATTTTTTTTTCCCTTTCTCCCCCTCCCCTCCCGGTCCTAGCTAGTAAAGTAAATAACTAAATAAATAGATACATATATAGGTTAAAGTAATGTAAAAGATAATAATATTAAAAGAAAATTAATAGATAAGGAAATAAAGAATAATAACAATAATACATGTACCCATATACTCACATATGTATACCCACATATACACATACATGTGTGTACATACCTACACACATATACACATACACGTACGTACGTACATACATTCATAGTTCCCCCCTTTCTTCTTAATTTAGTGTCTTAAGTTCAGCTATGTAGGCTATCACAGAGCCCCAGACAGATTCAAATAGTTCTGAAGAGCCCCTCAGGTTATATTTAATCTTCTCCAAGTTCAGGTACATCATTAGATCTTTGAGCCATAGAGATGCTTTAGGTGGTATCGAAGATTTCCATTCTAGGAGTATTCTTCTACGTGCTAAGATAGATGCAAAGGCTATACTGTCCTTAGTTTTCCTCCTCATCATTCGGTGGCCAGGTAGTACTCCAAAAATGGCAGTTTCTGCACATGGTGTCAGTACCACGTCCAAGGCCTCCGTAAGGTGTTTGAAAATGCTTATCCAGTATCCTTGTAGGCGAGGACAAGACCAAAACATATGAGTCATGTTTGCTGGTGACGTGTGGCACATCTGGTTTATATAATCCGTACATAAACTAAAATGTAAATCCCACACTACCCCTCTTCTCTGCTCCCTCACTAGTTACCAGTTGCTTCCTAACTCCCTTCAATACTCTGGCCTACCTTGCTGTGAAGGGATCAGGCCCTTCCTACATCCAGGGCATGGTTAAATTACAAACTCCAGCACGTGCACGTCGCCCTGCATCAATCAATCGGCTCACTGCGAGTGGAACCCAGAAAACCCCCGACAATGGCCGGTAAAAGAAAAGAGACCCTTCTCGTTTCTGCTTGTAGCATTGCAGGCCATTGTGAGGACTTCTGCTCATAAAGCAGTGCAATCAGTCTTTAAAGGAGTCTTTCCTTGTGCAAGACTCTGCTTTAACGGGCTGATGTCTTTGTAATTCTTCTTCTCTACACCCCCCCCCCCCTTGTCTCCATTTAGTTTCCCTTTCTCTTCTTCACTTATCTGTTTTGTCCTCTGTCTCCTTGAGTGCCCCCCTGTGTGTTTCTCTCCCTTTTATCTGTCTTTCGTTCCCTCCATCTCTTCAAGGTCATGGTCCTCAGACGTTCACTGAGACACATTCTCAAGGGGCCAGCTATCAGACACACACACACACACACACACACACACACACACACACACACACACACACACACACAAGCATGTAGGCATCTTCTAGCGTGAAGCTCTCAGAGAGATGGCAGAAAGAAGGACACGCACACAAAATAGTCTTCACTTACTGTAGGTATTTTGACCAGCATGTCTCCCGTCACCCAGTGCACATTTACACAAACACACATGCAAGACAGTCACAGTGATAAATAATGCACGTTTTGCATTTACACACACACACACACACACACACACACACACACACCCACACACAATATTCTAAGCAAGTCCAGGAGCAGAAAACTAGACAAATAAAATGACGTGTTTTTTTAAGTCAAACACGGTAAAGCAATGTATACAATATGTGTACTGACTTCAGTCACAATTTCTTCCTCTTTCCCTGTCCGTTTTGCTTTTCCCCTTATCCCTGACAAATAAGTTGTACATACCATTTCCATCACTACTTAAAGTGGCAACAGACGCACATCCTTTGTGTCGTAAATCGTTGGTTTATTTTCCTGGGATTGTTCCCAGTGGCAGACAGAATTGCTTAGTGAAAAGCAAGGCTTATAAGGAACCAACTTAATGGTGGAGGGTGTCATTATTCTACAGCCATTACATTGGGCAATCGACATTTACTTGATAATAAGTTAAAGCAAAAAGCGTGTCTATTGCCCCTTTAATTACACAAATATCCATAAAAGCAAATAACCCTTTAAGTTGGTGTTAAAACTATTTTGTTTTCAAGGCAATGTATCAGATTGTCCTTCTGCCATTCATCCTATTTATTGTTCAACCACACACACATTTGGACACATGGCTGTGGACAGAGAGTGCAGCATTGATCTCTGAAGGCTTTCAGAGTGTTGCCTTCAGCATGCTCTGCTGCTCACAAATACCTCTGTGTGAGTGGGAGTGTGAGTGGGAGTGTGTGTGTGAATGTGTGTGTGTGTGTGTGTGTCTGTGAATGTGTGTGTCTGTGAATGTGTGTGCTTTAGAACAGATGGAGACAGATAGGGCCTTTTTATCCATTGATGAGTCTGGAAACCGTATGGGTTGCATCACACACGCACACACACACACACACACACACACACACACACACACACACACACACACACACACACACACACACACACACACACACACACACACACACACACACACACACACACACACACACACACACACACACACACACACACACACGGTGCAGGGAGCAGTACTAGGATGCTTCACTCTGACAATTTTCCACACAAGCCAGCGGAGAAATGAGTGCACAGGACAGGAGAAGAAGTGAGAGAGCCTCAGTGCGGATCAGCAATTTCAGATAAGATAGGATAAGATGTACTCTTCCTGCACCTCTGTCTCTCGGTGTGTAGGCATTTTCTTAATGTCTTAAGACTGTTTTTAAATTGAAGCATGGCTTAACAAAGTGGAGTGTAAGATTATAATTAGATTAGATTATAAGATTAGAATAGTTTCGTACCACGGAGAGAGAGCGTGACAAGGTCGAGGCGAACTGACTCAGAGAGAGTCGGAAATGAACCGGAGTGAATAAAGGAGAAATGGTGACAGACATGAATAAATGCAGCCTCAGAGACACAGGCCACATTTATAAAGATGAAGTAGAAATGAATTATAGAGAAAGAGAAATGGCGTTCACAGTGACTGGTTGAAGGACAGAAACAAGGGAAGTGGTGACAGTCGTGATGGAACAGAGTGGCAGACTCACTGGGAGACATATTTGTTATGGAAAGTTTAAAGTGCCTGCTCAGAATAAATGAAATACAATGAAGCAAAAAGGCAAAACATGTTCCCCCTTTTAACATATTCATCACATCCACTCCTGTCTCTCTCACACAAAGTGTTACTCTCTGATCTTAAAAGACACCAATTCTTAAAAGCACCCCAGAACTTTTTAGGGATATTTGAAAAATGTAAGGCCTTTATTTAAATGTATTGGACCAACAGTGTTTGGATTCTGAAATAACAGATGTGGCTGGATTAGATGTATTATTCTTCTTTCCTATTTGTTTATTACTTTAAAGTTTCAAATATGCTTAAAATAAAATTGAGGAAAATATCTCACCATCTTATTGTAACAACATCTTTCAGTATGTAAAGCAGATTTACCTTAAGCAAAAAGACTTGGTTCCAGATAATTAGCAGCATTACAAAAGGACTTTCTCAAATGATGATAAGATGTTACATAAATGTTACTAATGACTCGCACAGATTTACAAAATGGATGTGCTTAAGAAATTAATATTTAACATTTTCCTTTAAGGCATTTTCCCACATCTGCCATTATGCGAACCTGAATGTTGTGATACTAGAACGACAGCCACTGCCCTCCTTTGTTCCACAAAATCAGTCGCATGAAGTGAAGTGCTCTCTCTAGGTCGTCCTCAGACGAGCCCTCGCTTCCAGTCATCCCGGTTCTCCGTATAGGATTTTGGGATGACTTTGTTCTTCATGGTTGTTCTTTACTATGCTGATTAAGGACTAGGGGGCGCAACTCCTCTCAGTCCTGGTTTTAGTTCAGAGTGTCCTTCTCCTAGATGGGCTGCCTTCCATGGCTATGAGCCCCATCTGCCCGGAATTGAAGTGCAGAGTCATGTTAATGCCTGACTGTCTGTATACAAAATACTTTTATAAATTATTTGTTGCATAAACAAATGTTTGTAGTTCCCAGAACCTAAGGGACAAATATTGTTGAGGAAAGTAAATGAGTTAATCTCTTTCTCACCTTACCATACTGTTTAAAGGCCGTTTATCATTTATACTTAAATATAAATACATTTACTAGTTCACTGACAGCCTGTAGTCTCTTTAAAGGTTGCATCTTATGTACAATCAATCAATTCATCCATCAAGCTTAATTTAAATGGCACTTTTCAAACACAAAAATGAACACAAAGTGCTTCACGAACCATTAAAAGAAATGTTGGAAACAATACCTAACCCCCTCTCAGTCCATAGACAGAGTAACATATAACTTTGTGATTTATAAAAACACTTAATACCAACAACAAATCAATAAACACTTGACTAAATAAAACAAGAATAAACACAATTTAAAATCTAAAAAGGTAGGTCTTGAGTTGGCTCTTAAAGGTAAGAACACTGTCTAATGTTGTCGTCTATCTCTTTCTCCTATCCAGAGAGCTAAGATTGGACCAGGCAAGAACGCAGAAGGCAAGGCGGCTATCGCTGCTGCTCGCTTCGACTCCAACGGCAACCAAGACCGCATGAAGCTGGCCGACTTCAACTTCCTGATCGTGCTGGGCAAGGGCAGCTTCGGCAAGGTGAGGCGATTATTCATCCCTAAGTCTGATTGGTGGATGACAGACCCTTCGCCTGAGCATCAACCACAGGAAGGAACCTGTGTTGTGCGTAGCTGCCCTCATACCTCTGCAAACACACAGCCAATTGTGTGCCATGATGGAAATCTCTGTGAGCATGTGTTAGCGTTTGAGCTGGACAGAGCATCAGAGCTCTCTATCCACACACATAGCTTAGAGGTGGACAGAAGGAGAAGATGGAGGTAAAGGAGACGGAGCACATGGAGACAGAGATGGATGAAAGGAAAGAGACCGAGAGGATGACGTGACAAGAGGAGAAAATGATGAAAGGAGGGAGAGACAGAGATGTGAGAGCATGGCGGCAAGGTTGACATGAATGAATTGAGAGAGAGGTAAAAACGTCAGAGTGAATGAAAAGAGGTGAGAGGAGGGAGGGGGGGGGGAACCTTGGAGAGGGAAGACTGACGGGAATGAATGAAAATCAAGGCGAGAAGGAGAAAGAACGGAGAGATGGGGAGAGAGAGAGGAAATTGGGTAAAAGACGGGTGGAGCAGCGGGGGGGGGGGGGGAGAGAGAGAGAGAGAGAGAGAAAGTGACAGAAAGAGAACGACAGAAAGAGAGAGAGACCATTGTCTGTGTACCTGACCTGTATGCCGGCTGCCTGTTTCCATGGTAACAGGCGTTTAAAGCAACACTGATGCGTCAATATGGAGAAACTGAGTCGAGGGTCGATCATTACTGGAATACCCGACACACACACACATGCGTACAGATTCCTGAAACGTGGACAGACACATGCATACACACACACACACACACACATTTAGAAAGAACAACACACGGTACATTAGAAAGTCCTTCACACACAACCACGTGCACAAACAGGCGTTCACGTGACGCTTGTGTGTGTGATGGTTGCTGAGTGTGTGTGGGAGGCTGGTACCTTCAGAACATCTGCATTACAGTGTGGTAATAACACACACACACACACACACACACTCGTATCACATGGGCACACATGGGCATACACATGCTTTTGCCTGATCTGTAATGTTACGTCTCGTATGTACACACACACACACACACACACACACACACACACACACACACACACACACACACACACACACACACACACACCACAAGCCCAAGCTGCATTTATTACAGGGTGGGAACATTTTGCTCTGCATTGTATGAATGCTGTCCATTGTGCTAACGCTTAGCTTTAGCTACAACGTTATTTTGTGTTTTATTGTTACATTTTATTTAGCTGATGCTTTTATCCAAAGCAACTTACAATAGGTGTAGTAAGCCATACAGATACAAACTCAGAACAACAAGAAAAGTGCACATATATTTGCTTTTATTATAATCTTGTCCAGGGTACAGGCGAAACAGGTGTTTTTTTTTTTAAATATATGCAGAGTTTCTGCTTTCCTGATTTCAATGGGTAACTAGTTCCACTATTTTGGAACAAGGACTGCAAACAGGCAAGTTTTACATTTATTTCTCTGAACTTTGTTGTGTTACTGGACATTGTGCAATTCCCTAATTGTTCAAATCACAAGTTCTACCACAATACAACATTATATCGTTTCTTTGGACAGAAATACAGTATTCGATGTTGTCAAAAATTCTGTCATATGATTTCAATTCCCTGGCCTGTGGTCGAAATAAGACAACAGAATCAATATCAAGTCACAAACTACAACTACAATATGATTTAACAATTAATTGATGATCTTTGTTTTCTTAAACTTAAACGTCATCTTTGTATATATTTATGAATATTTCGTTTTGCAGATAAATACTTAAAGGTAAAGAATTGAAACCCACAAGTTGGGGACTATTTCACTTTGTGACAGTAACACATCTCCAAACGTGTCTTATTCTAACCCAATTGTTGGTCTTTAAAGAAAAAGAACATATCAGCAGCCTTTTTTTTTATTACAATAAATAACATTTTAAGTTATTAGTCAACTTAGAGGCCTGAAGAAGTCTCACGTTTTCCTAAAGTGACCATTTATGTATCACCAGACATGATGTATGATCTATGACAGTTTATCAAATCCAACACCGCCCGCTGTAATAAAACATGGCGCCGCATCAGTGCAGTGTTGTGCAGTGGAGTGTGGATTCATTTGTTTTCCCTGGGTAAATTCACTCTGCAAGGTCAGCAGAGAAAACACTGTGGCATCATTTACGACATATGACAGTTAATATCCCGAGGTCTGCTCTGCTGTCAAATGACCCTGAACAACTTTTTCTTGGATAAAAGGCTGTTGCCAATAGTGACAACACACAATCCACAGTAGAGTAGGCAGCCTCTATGAAAGACACTGTGACCAAAATGACCTCAAATAAGACATTGAACCTCGGTGAGATCATAAACTCAGAAGTTTATGGTAACTTATTTTAATTATGTGTGAAGGGTAAAATAAAAATAATAAAATGGTGCTTGTATTTGTCACCATGAGGCGTGTAATGATGCCAAAAAAGCTTCCGTTGTTGCTTTGAGATTTGTGCGCCTTTTGATTTGGGATAAAACCCCGCTGTGGTTTTATGTCTTCCTCCCCTTGTGTCGCTGTTGTCCTTGTCCTTGTGGTTGCATAAAATGAGCTTTGGGCCAGATGGTGTCCTTCCTCTTCCTCTGTTTCAACTTTATAGAGTTTGTATTTACATAGAGTCACACTGCCACCATATGGGACGAGTCCACTTATCCACAAACACACTCCCACACACTTACATATGCTTTTTTCAAAGGATACCACCGGCATACATCCAACTTCAACAGATCTCTAAACTTGAATGCGGAAGATTGTAATGCTCTCTCTTTATATGTGCGTTATATAGGTTTGTGTGCATGTAAATGGTCTGCAAAGGCTAAAATGCCAAAGGTGCCAGAGGTGCTATTGGCTAGCACTCAAACACATTTGACATGATAGGCTAAGGGGCGGGACATCCCTAATGGTTGGACCAATCACAACAGAGCCGACCAGCTAACCAATCAGAGCAGACTGGGCTCTGGTTTCAGACAGAGGGTGAAAAGAGGTGCTGCAGCACAGGCAGTATGAGTGTAAACATTTCATGGTACAGTAGAGACACAAAATATGAACCTGAAAATGAACATACTATCTCTTCTTTAACACCCTCACACACACATACAGGGTGTCCGCGGGGTCTTAACAAGTATTAAAAGTTGATAAATCAATTTAGCGAAAATTAAGGCTATTAAAAAGAATTAAACGGCATTTTCCAAGGTATTACATTTTGTAGCTTGTTTTCAATAAGTATATAAATTGTCCAAAGAGGTTGTATTCTACAGTCTGCCTGAATGTAATCATTGCGTAGGTGTGTAGTGTGATTCTGTGTAGTTTATTTATGGCATCCCGTTGGATCTGACGTCATCTTCTGAACGGGACATCGCACGCTGCTCGATAGCGCGCGAAGGTCCGTTTACGCCGGTTGTTAAACAACATCGTTATGGGGAAATGCAAGTTTGCGTCCAAATGGTTGGAAGATAAGGAGGAAGGACAATCAATACTGTATATAGTCAATGTGAGGTAAAGTGTGTAAATGTAACCGGTTAAAACTCGAAGTGGCGATGAGGTCTTAAAATGTATGGAAAGGGTCTTGAAAAAGGTCTTAAAAGGTCTTACATTTGACTTCAGGATTCCTGCATATACCCTGACATATATACACTTGTGTGTCTAATCCATCTGTGCTTCACTCCCAGTAGTATCCCAAACCCGATAACCCCTCTACATTATCATACCTGAATATTTATATGGCATAAACAGCAAAGTTTCCGATCTCTTTGGGGAAAAATAATATGAATTAGATATAAGGTCACTCTCATTAATCTGTAGTTAAAGGTTTTGGAAAGAATAATGAGAGTTTTCCATTAGCATCCTGAGGCTGGAGTTCATCAATGTTCTCTGTTTGCAGACATTCTGTTTTCTTTACACAATGATCTTTCTAAGTCTATGTTGCTTCCCCAGAGGAATTAAACACATCAATAAATCAATCAAACCCAGTTTGTCTTGAGCTTTTGAACAGTTGCAGCATTTTTCCAGTCTCTAAGTTCCCCCTGTGTTTTATGCAAATGAACATAAGAGAATAAAAACGTTTTTAAAATGGAATACAATTGGATAAAAGATCCTTTTGTGGAGGTCCCAAAACTCAATTAGCCTTATGGGAACTACAAACACACCATGCTAGCCATGTAATGTAAAACTCAGCTTCTCCTTTTTATATCATTCTTACCCGCCTTGTTTTAAGATAAAAGTATTAGTTTAAGAGTGATAGAAAGAGCAAGAGAGCCAGACGACTAGTTTCAGCAGAGCACTCTGACACGTGGGAACTTTATCAGTGCTGATAATTTACATGAATTACCACTTTCTGAAAAATGTCTCTTTCCTAAGCTCGAAACCTTTGAGAAGTTTTTGCAAAAAATAAAAGTCGAGGGACAGGATGAGCTTCAAATTGTGAGCTCTTAAATGAAAAATTAAGTTGTCTAATGCTTTAGCGTTGATTTGATTAATTTCCTCTTTAATATAAAGCTAGTTTAGCTTAGCATAAATACAAAAGTGATGGGGATACAGCCAGCCTGGCTCTGTGCAAAGGGAACAGAATCTGCCCTCTTAAGCTAAATATTTATAGGCTTAGATTGAACAGACGGATATAAGAGTCACATCTATTTGATATATCCATCCTTCAATAGTTACACTTGCTCATATAATTCCCCCATACCGATTTACGTCCAGGGAGTTGAACTTTTATGACCTGGTCACAAGCCTGCTGCAACTTTTATGAGATGACCTGCAAGCTGGGTCTTGACCTACATTTGACCCGCTGTTTGCAGCCGGAAAGAAGATATGAGGACAGGGGAGGAGGAAGAAGAGGAAAGTAGGAAAGGGAGAAATTGAAGAAGAGAAGTGGTGAAAAATGAGAGGAGAAGAGGAGAGGGTAAACAAGAGACCTGAGAGAGAAAGACGAGACGGAAACGTTTACTGCTCTGATTGAGAGACTGTGAGCCTGACCTTGCAAAAAAACACATTTCCACCTCTTTAAACGTACACATACATACAGTACACACAAATCACACACGGGTATACACAAAAACATCTCAAAGTGGTTTTATCCTCTGCGTTTGTCTGTTCGACCTCCACGAGAAAACACCATGGTGTGTGTATGTGTGTCTCACATGTGTAGTCACTATTAGATAGTCAGACTTGATCATTAAAACAACTCTTCCTCTGCCATCGGTTCTTCTTCTTCACTTCAAGGCAGTCAATCTTCCCCCCATTATTTATATCCCACCCTCCTCACCCATAGACCTTCCTTTATCTCCATATAGCCCCCATACTGTACTGTGTACTCCTCACTAATGTTAAATGGCAAACAGAAGCTGAACGATAAATCAATCTTATGTTTGACATTTTGCATCGAGTTGCACATTGTATATGCAATTTAAATAAATATTCACTTTTACTGAAATAGATGATAACAAACCAACTAGTCTGTCTAAATGAGCATGAGAAGACCCACAATATGCTGGCAGACTTAACAATGTGAGCTCCATTTGTGCAAAGTTAAAAAAACAACCTCAAGCGAGAGTGACACAAAGAAATGATACAAGTCAATGACATGTACAGTATGCCTTAACTTTTGTATTTATTTATTTACATCTTAGTACTACAATTATCCAGACATTTAGCTCCCAATTTGACATGCCTCAAAGTTGATATTGTGCAGTCTGACAAATATCAAAGTCAACTTTATTGTCAATCTTCCAGTTTGTGTGTTCGAAATACTGTTTCCCACAATCCCGAATATAAAAACAAATGTATATAAAATGTAAAGATATGTGTGCAAATATGTGTATATATATATATATACTGTACACAGTCAAAGACACATTTGTACATGTGCACACATTGAGACCTAAATAAAAACACAGCAATCAATATATACAAAATAACAGCCACTTCAATATTTTGAGAATTAGTGCAGATTGTCCATCGAATGTGCAAAAAATAAATATTAAGTGCATAATATTTCAAGCAAGATAGTATTCTCCTATGTAATGACACAAAATCCCACTAAAGGAGCCTTGTACCCCCTCCTCTCCCCCTGTCCTGCCATTTCTCTTTCCTATGTAACCTCCTCTCTGATGACATCCTGAAAGTTGATGAGTCAGTTTCCTCTCTCCTTCCTTCCTGTCCTTTCTCTCTTTACTTCTACTTTGACCTAACCCCACAGTCAGAGAAGCTTTTCTTTATCCCTGCTGACCTTTACAGAACCTCCTTTATCTCCCCCCCTTTTCCCTGCCTCCTACAGCTCACTCCTTACCCTTTCTCCCTCCTTGTTCCTTCGTCCTTACTTTGTCTTTCAAAGTGGCGTTACAATAAAGGATTGACAGTAGCTGTGTGCCATTTAAAATGTAGATTATTCATGAGTTTATTTGTCTTTGGTATTTCTCTAATAAGACATATCCTACTACAAATTACAATTACCCTGCCGGCTTTCTTGTGATTGGTCAACCGCTTAGAGATCTCCCGCCCCTTAGCTTATTACATACAATGTGTTGGAGCGCTAGCCAATAGAAATAGAACAATTATTGTTTATTTTTTATAATGTATTTTAACTGTATAGTTTTTTAAAAAAAATGTGTGTGCCCTCAAACCAGATAGTTCAAATAAATATGAAAATGTGTGTTTACTATTCCTTGTGTTCACCATCCATCCTCTTCTTTCCTCCCCTCTCCAGGTGATGCTGGCGGAGCGTAAAACGACGGAGGAGCTGTACGCCATAAAGATCCTGAAGAAGGACGTGGTGATCCAGGACGATGACGTTGAATGCACCATGGTGGAGAAGAGAGTGTTAGCGCTGGCTGGAAAACCTCCGTTCCTCACACAGCTGCACTCCACCTTCCAGAGCATGGTATGATGGCCAACACAACTTCACACAACACAACTTCACCAACACTTTGCATATAGTATATACATGTATTTAGACATATTGCACTACTTTTTATTTTGTATTTTTGTATTTTATTATATATGCTGGATTGTTGGAGGAGCTCAGGTCATACGATTTTCATTGCCATTTCTACACTGTAGCTTTGTGCATATGACAATAAAACCTTTGAAAATGTGGAAATTGAAATAAGTCATTATATGGCATTACAAAAATACAACATTCAAACTGTGAGAATAATAAACAATCATCCTTGCAAAAATAATTTGATTGCAAATATTAATTATATTGACAATTGATACTATAACATTTAAATGACAGTGAGATAAGGAAATGATAATGCTTTATAGACTTTAGTGTGAAAATGTGACCCTTTGCAACAACTATCCCTTTCTACATTCTTTATTTTCTGACACATTCTTGGTCATTGTACATTATGAATATTTAGTTCTTATATCTATAATTAGTTTTACAGTGCTTTTAGCTGATTAAAACCAAATATATTTATATTAATAATTAATTATAGACATTGCTATCATGAACATTGTTGCATTTAACCACAATGATAATCCAAAGAACCATCCATTTAACACTCTTTACAAGCTGACACACTGACACGCCTTCACATTGTGTTCGATCTGGGGGGGGGGGGGGTGCACGGTGTCCTGCTGGTGAGCACTGTGGTCTTAACAGCAGCTCACAGCTGGAACACACACACTGGATTCATATTTGATTCATGCTTTTCTTCTGAGGTTTAATACCCCACCAAAGATGAGTCAACAGAAGAGTAAATATAGCTCCATACTTAACACTCATTTACATACATGTTTCATTGATCAGCGATAATAACATGTTGTGAATCCAGAGGCGGATGTTGATGGCTAGACAAAAGTGAAACGACACATTCACACAGACTCCTAAACCACAAGAGAGTGTGTAATCCTTCCCAGCTCCAATTCTCAGACCATAGAAACACTTTTATACATATGGGACTTAGCAGGCAGTCAAAACACACGTGTACATGCATAGAAGTGTAGTAGTTAAAGTAAGTAAATTACATTTAAATCAAACATACATTGTAGACAAAGACACATCGAGCATACTGTATATTGCACGCAAATGTAATGACACCTAAAATGCAATATACTCGCATGCAAATATTGTATGTCAAGGGCACTTATTGTGATAAGTAAGAATGGAAGAAGTAAAAAAAAATATTAAGTATGCCTTGCCTTTATCAAGATCCACTTCCAATTTTGGTTAATGCCTTTGTTTGAATTGTTTTACTTTCTTTATTTGTTCCATGCCAATGAAGAGCAAACATTTACCGCCATGAGCATTTTATAAAAGACTATGAAAGAAACGAAGAAATTCTTATGTTACCTTCCCCTATACTCAAAAATAGATGGTCGCGGTGCAATCTTGGAAAAATCTACCACTTTCCGGGAAAAAAATAAAATAGTTTTTCAAGAAAAGATACCACCCAGTGTTCAAACGCCAGGAAGTCCAAGTATAATCTCAAACACACTCACACACATTAGCAGCCCTAACACAACATAGTTTCTCCGAACACACACATTGCTACACTCACAAATCCCTCCACTTCCCGTCACTTTCTGTACCTTATTGGCAATTTCTGTAGATAATGGAGGAGAATTATGTTTTAAATTGAAGTTTCAGTGGACAACAACCCGGTCCCCTCTTTCTGACTCTGTTGTTCCTCCTAATACATCTTTTGTCCTCTATTATTACAGACCATGTCATTCCTTTTCCCTCATATCTCCTTTAGTCTTCTCTTACTCAAACCTTCACTATATCTTCTTTAGCAATCCTTTCACTCTAGTCTCTATTTCATAGTGACCTCTCACCTGCTTTTAGGAACACACACTGTTTGACCAGTTCTGTGTGTGTCTCATCTTTATCTCTCTGCAGGACCGTCTGTATTTTGTCATGGAATACATAAACGGAGGAGATCTCATGTATCAGATCCAGCAGGTCGGCAAGTTCAAAGAGCCCCACGCTGTGTAAGTACACGCACACACACAAGCATCATAACACGAAATCTTAATCCCATGCTTAGAGATGTAATGCTTTTTTAAATCATATTGAATAAGCCATCAGCAGTTTGACAGGCTCAGGTGACGGATGAGCAATCGCAGCAGAGCCTGGGGGGGAAAATATGTTGTTCGCCTCGATGCAAGTTGCTGCTCTGATGAAAGAACTGAAAGTAATCCAGCGGCTCCTGTGAGTTTTTTTAGTGCGCGGTAGAATACCTCCAAAGCTGCAGAGTATAATTAAGGTGGCTGGCGAGATCGCTGGTGTCGAGTCAAACTAGCGAGTTGACATGTTTGACAAGCGGGCTGTCGGGAAAGCAAGAGCCGTGGTGGAGTTTGCCCTTCATCTGCTTTATAGGGAAATAGAGTTGCTTCCCTCTGGCAGAAGGTTTAAACCGCTGAAAGGCAAGTTAAAAGGAAAGGGTGGGTAGACTTTTAATTAAGGCCATCGACTTGTTTAATTTATTTATGAGGCAATAGAGTGGTGCAGGAATGAGTCCTAGACCCAGAAATAAGTTAGCATTTTAGCACTTCTGGGCTCCCTTGTCTCAAAGTCAGTTAATGAGTTTTTGGTTAGATGGGTGAGATAAGGTCTTCATGGCGATACAAGCCTAGGATATTTGAAAAGAAAATGCATTAAATACGTCGGTACATACACTACTGGTGATTGTCTGACGCTTTCACGTGTCCTAAATACAGCGGTTGCTAAGAAGTAACTAAATAAGACATAAAAACATTAGCCTTCTTTAGATTAGCAGTGGTGACGGGAAGTCATTCGATCGTCATGTAGTTTGTTTGCAGCATTACATTAGCTATTTACTTTTGGCAATTGCATTTACGCTGTATCTATTCCATAATCGAATGGAACAATCCTGATATTACATTTGTCAGAGGAAAGGAAGCAGGACCCAGAAGAAGGAGGTGAACGTACTGTAGGAAGGAGGGAGAGAAGGACATCACAGTTATCAGCATAATTAAAACCATTGGCTTTTGTCAAGTGAGTCCTAGTGATGCTATCTTCCAAGTTGGCCTACAATAATGTGCCATCACTGCACCACTCCACACTCAGGACACGCTGCTCCCTGGATAATAACGATGCTTTGAACTTTTGTCCCAGTGTCTTGTATTTCCTGTGTATGACTGTTAAAGCCGTGTTAGCTTCCTGCTGCGGCAACTCCCCTCTGATCACGTACATAACGTCCAACTAGCTCTCTCACACTGCTTCCCCACGCCTCTGAAATGCCTCCTGACATCTTTTAGGTGCACTTTACAAACGGACACTGATTGTGCACGCCCACGCAAACAAACACACAAACACAGTTGACTGCGTGGTCAGTGTGTTGAGACTCCTCCTGTTGATCTTATCAGCCGCTCTCTGGCCTTGAAGAGACAGCACTGACCTTTGCGTGGACACACACACACGCACACAAATTATCCATCTGTTTTCCTCTTGTCCTTTCTCTCAGACTCTTTCTAATTACTGCTTTTGTTTCTGTGTGTTTGTGTGTAGATTCTACGCTGCCGAGATAGCCATTGGTCTGTTTTTCCTGCATCTAAAGGGCATCATCTACAGGTAACCTCTATCCCACAACATACTAGATATATGAACACAATACAACATGCATCGTGGAGGATTTTCAATGTGTTAAACGATGTCTTTTATTGCAAAAGGAATTGGGAGATATGGATTTAAATGAACTACTGGAACAACCCAAAAATATCTTTACAACTTTATGATATACAGTAGGAAGTGTGTGTCTTAAGCATTGAAGCGCTGCAGTTTTAGTTCGTTTTTTATAGTTCCTTTTAATATGTTGAACCTTTAAAGGATTATTTCAGCACACTCCTATTTGTAATATTAGAAAATATATATATTTTCTAATTTATGCACTAGAGAACTACAAGAAAAAGTACTTTTTCATTGAATATGAATCTATAAAATTCAGAATTGACCATATTTTGTGACCTCAACTCCCCCTCAGTTGGTACAGAAGAAAAATACATGTTCTGACCTTTAGACCTTCAACTGCAATCAACTGGTTCCTGCTGTTTATAATCTCACGCTGAGAATCCACCCCCACAAATAATGCAGTCCTCCTAACTGCAAATCAGGATCTGTCATCTGCTTTAGTGTAACCCCAGTTCGACCTCTTGCGTTAAGCACTGCATCATTCCCTATTAAACTCCCAATGAAAAATAACAACAATGATGCAGAGGAGAAGAAAACTGTAGCGTAGAATAAAGAAAATGGTGCTATGATGAGCCTTCTTGGTCCATGTTGGGTCATGAATCACGTGTTGCTAACGTTGCTTTTTCCTCCTGTAGAGACTTGAAGCTGGACAATGTGATGCTGGACTGCGAAGGTCACATTAAGATAGCAGATTTTGGCATGTGTAAAGAAAATATGAATGACGGCGTCACTACCAAGACCTTCTGTGGAACACCGGACTACATAGCTCCTGAGGTAGAGTGTGTTTCTGGCCTGTAGACATGTTTTATTCAATATGTATGTTGAGGTTTTTAACTTGTTTGTAACACATCTTTTCTTTATTCCCTGCCTTGCATTGAGTGGTGCAGTGATGACGTATTTTTGTAGGCCCACCTGGAAATTAGCATCACTAGGGCTAACAAAAAGCAATGGGATTTTTCCATCTGATTTTGGAATATTACAGGAAATAAGATCTGTGGCAAACACGGCTTTATCACACTTACACGATTTGTTCCGTAAATAGCTAACTTAATGCTACAAACATACTTAATGACGGTCGCATGACTTCACGTCACCACCGCTAAGCTAAAAGCAGCTAATATTTGGTGACCTTTAGTAGTCTCATTTAGCCACTTGTTAGCAACCATTTTAAAACATGTAAGCTTGAGACATTCACAAGTTGAGTATTTACTGGCGTATTTCATGCTGAGAACAATATGTGAAAATCTTGTTGGCTCGTGTTAACCACAGCCCTTATTTCAAGCGTCTTATCACAAACACATTCAGAAATCCATTGACAGTGAGGCCCCATTTACACGGGAACGCAAACGAAGCGCAATCAAACCGAATTCGATATAAAAAAAGTATTCCGTTCACACGGATACGGCTCAATAAACGTGTCCCTTCACACGAGACCGCTTGACCCGCTGGAGACGCTATAGTACATATACCTGTACTTCCGCCACAAAATACACCAAAAGCAGCGAGCATGGTTGCCATGGTTGCCTGGTTGCCCTTCTGTTTATTTTCCGCGGTGGATTTAGCAACATGCAGTTCATGTAGTTCTCCATGTCCACTTGTTGCTGATGGTTGTGGTAGAGGAGCTGTAAATGTTGCACTAACATCTGTAGCATGGTCAGTAGCAGTAGCTACTGACCATGCTACAGCAGTGAGCAGCAGAGGTGGGGAGAGGCGGGGCTATGGCTTCATCGTTATCAGGAAAATTATCGGCGTAATAGGGCGTACACACTGAGCCATCTATCCACCTTGGGACCCGTTATTGTTTTAGGGGTCCGTTTCCGCGGTTCCGTTACGGCCTCGTGTGAACGAACAGGTTATACAAAAGAGAAAAGTAGCAGATGCAACCCGTTTCGTTCCCGTGTAAACAGCACCTGAGACGAGGGAACCAGGAAGTCCTAAATGCTCACTCTTCTGTTAAGGGCTCATTCATGCACTCTTCTTTTGCTATAGATTTAATTGATACATTTTCCTGAACAAAGTGTCTTATATTTCAGATCATAGCCTATCAACCTTATGGAAAGTCTGTGGACTGGTGGGCCTTTGGAGTGTTGCTCTATGAGATGCTAGCTGGACAGGTCAGTCTGTGTGTGTGTGTGTATGTTTCGATGTGTGTCTTATACAAAGTTTTATTAATAGAAACTTTGTGCGATTAAACTCCTCCTTATACAGCATTTGTATTCATGACTGAATGTGACAAAAAACAAACACTCGTGATCTTAGCCTTTAAAATTTGACATTGTGCTAATGAAAGGTTAGCTATTAAATTAAACCCCTTGATGAGTTTTCCTCTCATGGCATTAATAATTGTTAGCGTAGATGTGACATTTCCAAATCCTGGATATCTCATTTGGAGTGCATATTGTGAATGTGCCAGTACTACAGTACTTAGTGGTGTTTGATTCTGAGGAGAAAAAAGGTTTAATGATTCAATTTAAATGTCCTCCATTTGTCCTGCCCTGCCCACTCTTGTTCCTTTTCCTCCTCTCCTTATTTCCTCTCTCCTCTCCTCTTCAGCCTCCATTTGACGGTGAAGATGAGGATGAGTTATTTCAGTCCATTATGGAGCATCACGTCTCCTATCCCAAGTCAATGTCCAAGGAGGCTGTCGCTATCTGTAAAGGGGTGAGTGCGCACACACACACACACACACACACACACACACACACACACACACACACACACACACACACACACACACACACACACTCTCTCTGTAAAACACAAGTCCTTGTCCGTCTCGTGAGCTCAACCTTGCTACCTTCTCACAAAACCTCCCTTCTTTTTGGCATTGCTCCCTCTCTTTGTCACACACACACACACACACACACACACACACACACACACACACACACACACACACACACACACACACACACACACACACACACACACACACACACACACACACACACACACACACACACACACACACACACACACACACACACACACACACACAGAGAGAGGAATAGAGTTGGTAGGGTATTACATTTGTCAGAGGAAAGGAAGCAGGACCCAGAAGAAGGAGGTGAGCGTGGGAAGGAGGAAGAGAAGGACATCACAATTATCAGCATAATTAAAACCATTGTGGGGGAACATTTATTTGGAGTGAAACAACATTGTCCGCTCTCGTTATCTGTCTTGCTTCCATCTCTACCTCCCTCTCTCCCCCCTCTCTCTTTCTCTCTCACCCCTTTCTCTCTCCCCCTGTCTGTTATAATGCTCTCCTCTCCCGTCCTTCTCTCTCCGCAGTGTTCATTGTTAAGCCGCTGTTTTGCTCTTTTCATTGTACATCCCCTCTATCTCTCACACACACAGACAAGCACACACACATATTCTCTTTCTCTCACTCACTCACTCTCTCTGTCTCTCACACACACACACACACACACACACACACACACACACACACACACACACACACACACACACACACACACACACACACACACACACACACACACACACACACACACACACAGAAATGCGCTAATAGGCAAAGCCTGTGCTGTGTGCTCAGTTGACTGTGGAAACTTCAGTTCAAAAATATTGGCCAATACCAAATTATACCCTGACATTTCCCTACTGGAATGGTTTGTGTGTGTGAGTGTGTGAGAGACAGCTGATTACTGCTATAAACAGAGTGGGTCCTCTCTATCAAACCACCACCTCTCTCATCTCCAAACTGTACGCTTCACTGACCACGACAAACTGCACACACACCCAAACATAGACACACACACTTGGAGATGTACAGTATGTTTAGATACCCATTTTCTTTTACACACAGCACGTCATCTCCCTCTGATGGTTTCATCTGCTTTCAGGAATTAACGGAGCTCTGTTTTAAATCTCTACAGTATCACTATCAATCCTCATTATGTATATATCACTTATAAACAAACAAAATGTTGACATCATTGAATGAATTTGTAAACATAAACACAGATTTGTATTTATTGACAAGGTATGAACACACACACACACACACACACATACACGAGTATTAACATCAACGTACAGTTCAGGCGTGAGTTAAGACACGCACGGCGATGACAGCATGACTTTGTTCCGCTTAATATAAAAGCTAGGGCGTTCATGAGCAAATTGATGACATATATGTTAACACACACACACACACACACACATGCTGTTTTATGTATTAGTGATGATTCCTGGGTTGTAGTGCTACGACAGTGGATGTTCAGTAGAGCGTGAAAGCCTCCGTCCGCCCCCACAGCTCCCACTGCGCTGCCAGCACTGCCCGGGTTAACTCACTGCATGGATATACTGTGTGTGTGTGTGTGTCCATGTGTGAGGGTCTAAACTGTGTGTGTGTGTCCATGTGGGTTTGTCTCTAGTGTGGGTGGGGGTGGGTGTGGGTGGGTGTGTTTACTGTAAGTGTGTGTGTGTGTTTACTGTAAGTGTCTGTGTGTCTTTACTGTAAGTGTGTGTCTTTACTGTAAGTGTGTGTGTCTATATTGATGTGTGTACGTGTCTGTGTCTATACTGTATGCGTGTGTACTTTTGTGTCCAAGTGTGTGTCTATAATGTATGTGTGCATCCATGTGTGTGTGTCCATACTGTAATGTATGTGTATGTTTGTGTGTGTGTATCTAAACTGTACGTGTGTGTGTATCTATACTCGGTGAGTGTGTGTTCCATACTGTACTGTATGCGTACTGTATGTGTGCATCCATGTGTGTGTGTCCATGCTGTACTGTATGCGTACTGTATGTTTATGTGTCCATGTGTGTTTGTCTATACTGCATGTGTGCGCCCATGTGTGTGTGCCTCTATAAATACAATTCATAAACTACTCAAATGAACATTGAACATTTGCACAACAGTTAAAGAGTTAAACAACAAATATTTAACTTATTATTAGTATTGACCGTTAGAATGTGTATATTGCCGAGTATGTTGTGGATTCATAAGTGTAGAAGTCTAGGAAAGAAGCCCTGGTTCTGAATGACTGACACCAACACATTTTAAGATAATTTCCGTAGATGTTTTAGTTGACAATTCAGCTTTTCGTCAAATAAATCGGTTTCAACATGCCTATTTCCTTTATTATACCAATGCCCACACACTGTACGGTACTAAGGTCATGTCCTGTTTGCAGCAGGCTTGTGGTTTGTGTGTGTTTCGAACACATGTGTGGGAAGGGAGTGATCTGAGACATTTCCACTCCCCTGCTTCAGCCCTGACCAGCATCCATATTTCATAGCCAGCAATGTGCCATACCACACAGACGTGAACAAGAACATACACACACACACACACACACACACACACACACACACACACACACACACACACACACACACACACACACAGGCTTAAGCTGCCACTGCAGTATATTCTGTAGTGTTAGGATCATGATGTGTTCAACTACATGATTCTACAACAAAGAGTAATTGTGCAAGTACGTTTTAACAAACCTAAAGGCACACACACAGCTATTGTGTTTTTTAAATGGTGTAATCACCAGTATGACGTCATTCAGGTGAAAATGCAGTGTATCGATTATCCAGAGGAAGGGGATGTTTAGTGTTTTCCTTAAAGAAGTCAGCGGAGAACCTTGTAATTGCAACACACCACATACAAGCAAAAAAAGATTGCACACGTTTGTTAGATTACCGTGTCATGTGCACGCGCATAACGTAAACTATGACGAGACTTTTTATCAATGAGAGAGCATGATGATGACGAGAAGGCTATGACTTCATTAAACAATAACTGTCACTATATAATTATTCAATGATTTTGGTGTTTAAAGCTGAGACTGAAATGTAGATTAATTAACACATAACACTCCTTTTTTCTTTGACCAATGCCATGTGCCCGTGCTGTTTTTAACCCTTTTAAACCTCAAATTAGACACTGCTGGTACATATATGCTGTTCTACAATACCTTTAAGTATTTAATCAACTTAAAGTAATGCAATGATATTAATCAAAACAACACTTTTTTTCTCTTTTATGCTAATGAGCGATGCCATTTTATGCTAAAATATACCAAACTTCCTGCACTGCATGAGCACAAACTACTTCACTAACTTTGTGCAAGTGGAGTCACAAATGTAAAAAACAACATAAAACATTGTTATGTCTTGACACATGAGTTATTTTTAAAATGATGAAAATAGCATTGAAATAATGACATTGTTTGATCCCGTCAGCTTGCATATATATTAAAACAAATACCATGATTGTATAGGAACTAGGTAGGCCCAGTTTGACCAGATGGCGAATACAGCCTGTTGCCATTGAGTGACCAGAGGAAGACAGTCATGCCGTTTTGAAATTTGTCATTACTTCCTGCAATCAGTGACCTGTTTCGGTCCGGCTGCTTTGTGGTCCACTGAATGTGCCGTTCTCCTAATTGAATGCACGCAGTGAGGATTCACCAAGACTCCCTTCAGAGGAGATTAGCTGCAGTCACCTGATTTGTTGACAGACTCTCAAAATAAAGACAAATAAGAGATGATGTACGAGCCAACATGTCTTACTTTGTCTTCTTGACATGATGATGAATTGTGGCTTTTTGTTATATATTCAGTAAATTGAATTATTTGTGCTTCGGTTTACGTTAATGATTTATTTGTATATTTTGTTATGAGAGGCAAATATGGAGCCTTTGCCCGAGGCGTCACCCTTTTTTTTTACAATTGACCTATACAAGGGCATAAATGCAGAGCTCCAGTGCGCCAGGTAGAACGTTTACATGCAATGTTTTGACTGCACTTCTTGTCAGTAAATAAGCCTTCTTTATTGAACTTTTTAGGGGTCTTTTTTGGAAGTTATAGCCAGTTTTTGGGGCTGTTACAAACATATTTCAAATGTACTCTAGCAGCACACGTGTGGTTTTAAGTGTGCCCACAACACGGAGTCACCTTGAAACTTGTGCACATTACAAGGCAAGACAAGTGTATATCAAAGTCTAGCAAAAAGAGATGTACAAGTGGACATCAAGAGAGGTTCAAGGCAGAATCAGGAGGACGAAGGTTACAGAGAGAGAGAGAGACGTTGTTATTCCATACAATTACATTTCTTTGATATAAATGACTCTTTACTCAATTGTTGACTTTCTGCATGCCTGTTAATTGAGGTATGAGTGTGTATGGATGAGTGAGTGTGTGTGTGTGTGTGTGTGAGCAGTCAGTGTGTTTATGTGCACACAAGCATGTGTGTGTTCAGTGTAAGGTTGACTGACCCGTGGAAAATGTTATTTTAGTTCTAATGTAATGAGTTATGACTGCTGCTCCTGAGGGAGGCACACCCACCTACACACACACACACACGCACACACACACACACACACACACACACACACACACACACTCATTCTGACGTCAGTAGCCTTGATGCTGCTCTTAAGCTTTCGTGTGGACACACACAGTAAACGGTCCTTAATTGTGCCTCTGGAAAACTTCTGCGTTAAAAGAAAACAAATATTCATTCTGCAGGCGGTGGTTTGTAGGCTTATATCTGGTGTTTTAGAAAGAGCGTTTAAGATGATAGATAGTGGAACTGAAAGCTGGTTAAAAGGAGGGCAAGACCAAATAAAGGGGTGACGTGTGTTTATAAACAGAGATGAATGAAAGGAGGAATCATAGACGAAAACGCTGACGAAAAGAGACGGGAATAAATTAGATGAAACTTTAATGATGCCAGAGGGAAGGTTTGGGTCTTCGCAGCGGCACACTGGTGAGCGTGGATCAGATGCAGATCCCTCTTTAGTTTACAACAATGCATCTGATTTAGCTCATGTAAATCTGACAAGTCAAAACATCATTCATCTTTAAATGTATCATTTAGCCTTCTATTAGTTATTCATTTTTTAAATAATAATTAACGTTATACTTCCTGCAAGCTTTTCCTCTAGTGTGTTGTATACGTTTTTTTCTTTTGAATAAAGCACTGAACATTAAAGCACGTAAACATTACACAGTAGAGGCACACAATACAAATGCAAACCTTAAAATAAACACAATAGGGCCCCTTTAACATTTAGTATGACCAAATACTTTTAACTTCTAAATCAGGATGGAGAAAGCGAAGCAAAGCTTGACTAAAAAATGGGGTTAGGATGGCAGAATAAAACCTAACGAGGACATTTTAAACAGACCAAATAACAAAACAGCTGACAAAGTGAACACATAACATTTGCCACGAGAGAGAGTGAAGAGGGACTGATAGTAATTCTTCTCTTCTGTCTGTCTGTCCAGCTGATGACGAAGCACCCAGCGAAGCGGCTGGGCTGTGCACCCGAGGGCGAGAGGGACATCCGGGAGCACAGCTTCTTCCGCTACATGGACTGGGAGAAACTGGAGAACAAGGAAGTTCAGCCGCCGTTCAAACCTAAAGCTGTAAGTCCAACCCCACTGAACCCAACTCCACCGCAAATAATGAAATCTCGTCTCTTGAGTCGAGCACAGGGCTAACTATCCCCGAACAGCAGAGACCAGGTGTTTCAATTCCTGGTAAAGACGTCATTTTCTCTTTTGTTCTTCTATGCTCACCTGATTTCTCTTTGTGTTAATTTACTCATCTTTTCACTTTCAATGTGATTGTTTCTGTCTCTTTCCTCTCCTCTGTATGGGACAATGCACATAGGTAAGTCTGGAAATGATGATGATGAAGGATGTGTGGTAATGGGGGCATAGATTAAGTTTATTGTGAAGAGGATGAGAATGAGAAAAGTGCCGTGATGAACGTTTGGATGAGAAGGACACTGAACATGGTGAAGGGCAACATGTCCACATTGCACTTTTTGCTGAGCGCCAGCATATTTTTCAATTGACTTCAATGAGAACAGAGTTGCCGCCTCCAGAAAGAGCGCACTGACCAGTGTCTTTTCTATGTGTGCAGCTGCTCCAAGTTCCAAGTCAGAAAAGTGCTGGTGACGTCACTTTAGAAATAGCATGAAAAGCTTCTTTTTGCCGTGTCGGTCTGACAAACACTTTCATATCAAAGACCGAAAGCCAGTTTGGCCGGGTGGACACCGGATGTTGCTGCCAGTGAGTGTGTGACTTTATCATCTTCCTTCCTCGCTATATGGCTGTCGGACTGAGCGGAGACAAGCTCATTCATACAAAGTGTCAGAGCAAGAATCTTCCAGTTGATGCTGATAGTGAAAAAAACAATATCTTTGCACAAACAGATGATTAAATCCATGCTAGTCTCTCAGCGCACCGACGGCACCTTTCTGCCAGAAAAGGCTCTTTGTGGTCATGGGCTCTTTAATGATGAAAAGCACACTAATGAAGATAACGCTACTGACAGCAGAACTGACTGATTTTCAGATTTTTCGAGACCAGTTCTGACTTTGCATTTGTCTAATTGGTTTTAGAGGTTGAGCTAAATCGCTACACTGATTTCTATATGTTGGTGCAGTCCCTGGAAAAGCTTGTGTTGGGGTTGACTCAGTTTAGAAAAAACCTAAGAGGGAATAAGTGGACGTCCGCATAGCGACCTGAAACAACTTGTGTTTTTCTTCTGCTATGAGCCTTATTCTTCCACTACAAAATTAGTTTGATCATAACTAGAGTCAGAATGATGTCATCTTCTACTAAAACTCACATATACACACACATATACACACACACACAGCCTTAGGCCTAACTGCTGCTGAAGACTTTTTTCAAGTTGAGCTTTTTATGCAGCTGTCTTGGCCCGCTGGGAGGGTGTGTGTGTGTGTGTGTGTGTGTGTGTGTGTGTGTGTGTGTGTGTGTGTGTGTGTGTGTGTGTGTGTGTGTGTGTGTGTGTGTGTGTGTGTGTGTGTGTGTGTGTGTGTGTGTGTGTGTGTGTGTGTGTGTGTGTGTGTGTGTGTGTGTGTGTGTGTGTGTGTGTGTGTGTGTGTGTGTGTGTGTGTGTGTGTGTGTGTGTGTGTGTGTGTGTGTGTGTGTGTGTGTGTGTGTGTGTGTGTGTGTGTGTGTGTGTGTGTGTGTGTGTGTGTGTGTGTGTGTGTGTGTGTGTGTGTGTTAATGCTGCCAATGTGTGTGTTAGAGGTCACCATTGGTACCAGGCTGGGTTCTTTAACACTGAGGTGTGTTTCCGCAGAGTCCTCTGATGTGACTGCTAACATATGTTGTCTGATCTCTTCTTCTCTGCTTCTGAATCGGCCTCTTCTCTCCCGTTTGATCTCGTCTTTCTAACATCTTTTGTCTTTCACCTCTCCGTGCTGTCGCTTGCGATCTCTCACTCTTTCTTCTTCCTTCGGAGAACAAACAATGGTTCAGATTTCTGTGAAGAACCGTTGTGTTTTCCCTGCATAAAAGTTTGGAGTTCAGTGTAACATCTGAAGGTGGTTCTTTGATCTGTTCTGGTGAAGAATGTGTGTATTTTGAGGCTCACAATATCTCTGACAAAAACAAAGTGTGTTTGTGAGCTGGTAATTGTTTATGAAGGGGTCTTTGATGCTGATTGAAGTCCTTATCACTGGTTGAGGTCGCGCTTTATTCAGTTCCCTTACTGTATAAGATTCTTGCCTGCTTGTGGTTTCCCAATGTGAATGGGTCGTGTCTAGAAGGTAACCCAAGATTTGCAAAACTTTTAGAACACTGTTTAGGTTAGGCATTGACCTCAACAAGTTATTTTGGTAGCTTTCGCAAAGTTTTGCAAATCTAGGGTCATTTCTAGAAACTAACTTATGAATGCTTTTTAAGAATCTTGATCAGGTGATCTCTCAGATGTGGCATCGAGTCACCAACAAGATGGCTGACGAGTGTTTTATTAATTCGCCTGGCAGATACGAAATGTTTTTTTTACGGCTATTGTCTTAAGTTATCATTGTTCATCTGTCCGTCCATCGAGCAATCTTTAGTCAACCCATCCATCCTCCACTGCTCCATCCATCTGGTTCCACGGCTGCCATGCATCAACCCATCTGTCCTTACTCATTTGTATTTGTCCTCTTTGTGTTTTCTCATGTTTGTTTCTGTTTATTTGCATGCTCCGGGGCTCAGTCTCAAATGAAACCTGTCCTGGAGTGCACTACTGTTAACTTCACCTAAACTTCGCATCAAAAAAACGCGTTTAACAGCTTTTATTTTAAATCAAAACGTTTTTATCAAAATGTTACCAAAACAAATTAACCTAGAAAATCCTGGAGAGCAAAGACTTAAATGCCCTGTCTTGCGATATTAATAAAAGTGAAACATGATTCTTGTATAGGACCTGAGGTTTGGATCCGCCCCAAAGTTTTATGAGTCCTTCCCAGTGGTGGAAAGTAACTGAGTACTTTGACTCAAGCACTGTACTTAAGTGTGAATCTAAGGTACTTGGACTTTACTTAAGTATTTTGATTGTATGCTACTTTAATTTACTCTAATCCACTACAATTCAAAGGGAAATATTGGACTTTTTTACTTTACTACACTTACTTTAAGCTTTAGTTACTTTATAGAAAATTATTATTATTATGAAGAAAATTGGCAGAAATGTTGCTAACTTCAAGTAATTTTTTGCGTCGAAAACTTTTACCCCTAACGCTTTATGTATATTTTCCTGATCATACTTGAATACTTTTACTATATAAACCATTGTCTGTACAGTACTGTTACTACTTACTACTTGTATTAGTACTTTGACTTAAGCAAAGAAGCTGAGAACTTCTTCCACCACAAAAACCAAAGCCCCTTCTCATCCCTGATGAAAAAAAAGTATTTAGACTTTCACTAGAGAAGGATTTGGGAGATGCTTACCACATAGATTAAAATATCTTGGCGAAGGTGTTGTGTCATGAATTTATACTCATAAACTTCGTGACACTTCTTTCATTTCCTACGAGGCAGATCTTTCCCATCTGCGTTGCCAAACAGGTGGAAACCGACGCAAGTAATTAGCTGCAAATACAATTTGACCCTGGTGTATTTCTCATTCCACATATTTCCCCAAACTATAAACAGCGTGGCTTGATTTCATTTGGTTTTTGCAAGTTTTTGGAGATTTAATGAGTTTGTAGTTTTCCTCTGGGTAATGTTGTCAGAGGACACTGAATCCTTGTTGTGTTAATTAAAGCTCCGTGCAGTGATAGAGATGTGAAGAAAAAAAAGAATAGCTCGGCCTGAAGTCCCCATGAGGCAGACTGTCGGGAAAATATAGTTTTCAAGTTAATAACTTGTTTTATGTACTTAGATGGACGCACATCTCACGGGTATATCAGCTCTTTTTGGATTCCCAGTGGTCAGGAGGAAATGAAGTGCACTGAAATTAACAATGACACTTTTTTCCAAATTGCTCCTCGAGAAAACAAATCCTACGTAATGTGAATTGCACAATATATAACTCTTTGAGATGATTTCATTTAGCCTTTTGCAACTTCTTTGTTAGCTAAGAGTTTGATTTGGATAGTGAGAGTTGACCTTGTGTTTTAAATGCTTCAAACAACACTTTTAATCAATGGACAAGCAAAAACTCCCATAGAAACTAAAAAGAATCACTTTTAATAACAAGATTAATGGGGGAAATGTGAAGAAACTCAGGGAAAGCAACCAAGGAGAATCCGTCTCCTGGGACAAACAGACATGCGATAGATGTTGGGTGGTTAAATGAAAAATAAATAATAAATATACAACATAGGGGTCCGATAGCTCAAAGGTTAGAGACACAGGCCCATATGCAGAGTCCGCTGCCAAGTACGCAGATTCAATTTCCGACTGCGGAAAACCTCAGGCAACGTCATCCCCTCCATTTCCCCCTTCAACACTATATCAGTAATAAATGCAAAAAATACCTTGAATCCCAATGATAAAAACCTAAGCATCTTATAAAGAATATATCTTGAAAGTCAATTAAATACATTCTCAAATTGTGAGCAAATATCTGAATATATTCCTGGTTATTCCCAGTTGTATTTAGCATACTGGTTGTCTGATAGGGTTTATCATATCTCAGCAGGTCTCCACAGCTGCAGCTAATAATTAACCCACAATTACAGCATAGTCGTGTCATGGCTTTGAGCCGTATCCTGCAGGACTGGTTAGAAATTCCAATTAAATCCAAGTAAAAACGGAAATGCAATACCGAGTAATTTATTTGGGGGGGGGGTTATTTACTTACAGCCATGGTGGGATGCCTTTTTTAATTAATTGCTAAACAGTTAAAGCTCCATGCGTTAAACTGTCCAATGTAGTGCACTTCCACGGGACGTTTGAGACTTCAATGACCCCGTTCGGTTTGAAATTGGAGTTGAATATGTTACAAATATCTCCACAAAGGGAGTCATATGCCTGAGGTGTGCTTGATTTATTCTCCTGACAGTGTATCAGCTAGTAGCCAACACACATGGAGAGTTAAATCAAGCTCACCCCTAGTACTCGCACCTTTTTATGATATTTGAAACCATGTTCAAGTAATGTCATCTCACACCCTGGTTCAACCCACCATTCCCCTTCTTTTGTTTTCCTCCCCTTCTCCCTCCCACCCCCCAATGCATCCATTCCTCTCCATCCCCACTCCTCCCCCCCCCCCCCCCCCTTGTACTCCATCCCCCCCCCCACCCTCCTCAACAGTGTGGCCGGGATGCCGAGAACTTTGATCGGTTTTTCACGCGCCACCCGCCGGTGCTGACCCCTCCCGATGAGGAAGTGATTGAGAACCTGGACCAGGACGAGTTCCAGGGATTCTCCTTTATCAACCCCGAGTTCCCCGGAGCTGACGTTGCCTCACCTGCCGCCGAGCAGGCTTGACTTCAGCTCATGCACACATGGACACATGCACACACACACACCAATAGATACACAATCATTTCCCCCAGTATCCAACCTGTTTACCCTGGAAAACACACACACACACACACGAATATTTATCAACTTAAAAATCCTGGAAATGATGTGTGCTGTGACAGGAAGCAAGAAGCCATGACTTAAACATACACAAAATACACAAAGATATGTATACTTCACACTGCTGCAACCTGGACGATGTGTTGGCCTCTTCTGGAAATGGCCTAGATGCATTATCACTCTAGTGCAGTGTCACAACTATCATTAAAACTGAGAAATGTAGATGCTTCGAAGTGGTCAAAATGTAATTCTTTGGCTAAATATGAGCCGTTGACTTTCTCAAAGCTTAGTTTGATGTTTCACTCAGCTAAAGCTTGGTGATCAACTTGTAGCTCACAGTGTGAACAAAGGACAATCATTTACCAGGATCAGACTAAGGATTAGAAAATGAATGGTGCCCCTAAACATTTCCTAAAATTCAACATTTTACGTTGATAATTCAAAAGTAGTCTTCAAATTTGTTTCTGCATTGTTAAAACTGCAGATAATTGAAACCTTATACAGATCATTCATGACACTCACAGCACACACACACATACACAATTCACATGTAACATAGCTTCAGCATTTCATTTTATTACTTTTAGTTTTGTGGAAATTGTGATTTAACTTTTCTTTTACTCATTCCAGTTCAATCAGAGTTGGGCCTGTACTTCTGATGTGCTTATTATTCAATGTGTAATAATAACAGCGTATGTACATTTATCTTTATCTTAGCTAAAACTGGAATGCTTCACATACTTGTGCATGAGTTTCTATATCAATAACAGCCCCTGGACTTTGTCTCCCAGCAGCATTTGAACATCTTATCTCTGCACCACTCTGCTGCCATGTGTGGCTGGTTTTCATGGTTTTTAAAATGCATATTCAAGAAAGATATTTGGTGTATGGTTTTACCCAAAGTGGAAGATTTGTGCCAAAAAAGACCACATATATCGGATGTTCTATGTGTCCTCTTTGTTGTTGCAGCACTGGGATCATGTTGGTAAAATGCTGTTGGGAAATGTAGTCCTATAGGCTTTGAGTCCGTCGAATAGATAGATAATACTACTTTGTATACTCTCCTTTTCTGTTAACTAGTATATAAGCAACGAAAGAGACTAGCAGATAGATTCTTTGTGTTTGTTCAAAAGCATGATTCAGATACCCGGGCGTTTGTTTACAGCAGTGTGCACATGAATGTTTCATATGTGTGTGTGAATGAGAACTGTGTATGGAAACGCACGGTAAAGCATTTTTGTACGTGTGTCAATGCATGCCATGCCTGGCCTTGCGTTAACATTTGTATTTATGGTGAATATCCACTTGACTTCCAACCAGTGGCTCCACAAGTGGCAGAAGAGAACAAGCACTTTTTGAACATTAAAGCATGTAAACCTGTCTCAGTAGAGGCACAACATACAATTATGGACGTGAAAAGGAGAATGATATGTCCTCTTTAAAGCAAGCTGTGTACAAATTAGTATGCATGTGTTTGAACACAGTTACGTCCAGTACTGCAAATTACACTTTCATAATTCCTGGAAAGCAGCACTTCAGTACTAGAGATGTTTTCGATGGCCTGGAAATCAAATTAAACCCAGATTCTGCTTTTCAAATGCAGGTTAAGTACCTGCAATCTCAAAACAGTAGGCCTGGAAAGGGTGTCTGCGTCAAAAATAAGGCCACTAGCTAGATTTCAAACAGCGGACCAACAACCATGCAGCTTGACCTCTGATCTAGTTTTTTGGTGGAATAAGGCCTCACTGTGATTGGTGTTTTTCCAAGTAGCCCTCTGCATGCACAATTTCCATCCTAACTACAGCAGCAGCCAACGAGGACACAGGTTAAAGCTAGGCCTTCTGTGTGTGTGTGTGCGTGTGTGTGCGTGTGTTTTGTCTCTTGTTTTCCCTAGCTAGCAATAATCGTGTTGACAGGAAAGCAGAATCAGTAATGAAGCAACCTCAGAGAAGGCTCAGGTTAGGACTTTAATTAATTCACATGCAAAAGGCTGTGAGGTTATGAGGCTTATTGGTGGGTTTATGTATGCGGCCAGAGAGAAAGGCAGCCGAGACACTTCAGTGCAGCTAACATAGTGTGGAAGTGGCTGAAGTGCTTCCTCACATCACACTCCTCAGGACATCAGGTGAGTTTTTTCTGCAGGTTTACTGTTGGTTGTTATCAGTACTACTGGCATGACATTTGACAGTATCTACGATTACGCTGCAGTATCATGCAGTTTATTCACTTGAAAAAAACAGTTATCTGTCATGCTAGCAGGAGTGGGAGTCTCTTAGGTTTCCACATGTAGAAAATATCATGCAACATTGTTAATAAAAGACAATATGTGGGCCAGATGATAAAGGGTTAGCAGAAAGCTGAGCGAGCTAAGGCCTGGTTCCAGATGGGAATGGCACTGCTTTTTGATGGCATTCAGAGCTTTTTCTGTGGAATGATTTGTACGTGATTGGGTTAATTGGTGCTGGGAAGTCACTGATTTAGGTACTAACATCTGGATAAAGTTGGTCGTGTCTGTTATCTTAGTCTTAAACTTTAACTGCTGATGAGTTCAGCACAGAAGAGCAGCTTTAGCATTTTCAAAGAGTCTGAAAGTGAATGTGTTTTTATGACTTCCATTATCTACGTTTTACCTTCATTGGTATTTATTACAGTCAGTGTCTCCTGTATTATGACAACAACAAATACCTATATATATATACTTATACATAAGCATATAAAACTGTGTCAAATGTTGATATCTACACCATGTGGTCAGTATTGTAAAAGAACGAGAGGAGACGTTTTCTCTGTTTGCATCTACGACTCTTTACTGGGAAGTAAAATGGACTCTGCATGGAAATTGCTTTTCTTTGTTTATTAGTTAGGATTTATATACATTTAGCATATTAGGGTGATTCATGTTTTCTGTGTGCGCATTGCTTCAAGGTGGGATCAAAGCTACTGTTGCGTGTGCTTTATGGGATAATAATACACCTCAAGAAAAAGAAGAAAGAAAAATGTTTCTCAAAATGCTTTCCATGTGCCAAAATAATTTTGTTTGTTTGTTAACCAACATAGACAGGCATACACAAAATAAAGGATTTTAAAAATGTGTTAGACTTAGAGGATGTTTGCTGTTTTTGTGTTTAGATGATGTGAATTGGCTGTGGTGAATGAAGGAAAGGAGGTAAAGAGAAATTAGGAGAGGAAGGTGAAACAGAAGGAGAGTAATTGAACAATGACAGGAGAGAAGAAGAGGTAGTAAGAAGGGGCAGTGGAGAGGGGGGGGGCGAGGAAGCCAAGCGGGGCAGGCCACTACGACAGGCTGTGCATATTTCATGGCTGCCACTTATCATAAGAGCCCTGCCTTGATGGGGTAGCGTAGGTCTGATGACTTCAAGGAAATAACATACAGAACACGGCCTACATACACACAGCCCTGCTGAGCCACTCGGAAGCTGTAGTCGCTGCTGCTATAACTAGCTGCACATTTAGCTTTAAGAGGGGTTGCTGGATATTGCACCATTTACTATCCGCGGTGTAATGTTTGCAAGTATTTACGGGAACTAAGGATTTAAAACGGCGTCCACAACACACCAACCTTCCACAGGGAATGCTTCGGTCCGTGATCAAAGGACTGGGGAAAGCTAGTGAGGTTCACATTGATGGGAAATGAAAAATATGCCAGCGAGATTTCACTTTAATGAAAGTCGGCAAACGTGTTGAGATGACCCTTTAAGTTCTTTACACGAGGGAGGATCGTAGAGGCATTTGTGACGTCTGGTTTAGATGAACTGTTTTAGCTTTTGTCAGAAGAAATAATAGGATACTTGACTTTGATTGTCTACAACACACGTTTTGTAACGCTTTGTTATTTATGATTTCTTATTCTCCCATAAACCGCCGAAGCAGGCATTTGCCTTTTACCCAAGTGTTAACACGTTGTTTTGAAATATAATACAACACACACAAAAGTGCCAAAATATGTTGCTTGAATGGCAACTTTAAGCTGGCTCTAAAAGCTAGTACATTCCTATGTAACCTAATGTAAAATATACACATTTACATCTCAAATAAACATATTTACAGCCTGGTTACAAATGTCTACGTCTCTGTAGCTTATACATCACTTTTTCGGGGGGGGAAAACTTTTATGAAGTCGACTGTTTGAATTCAATTAAGGCTTAAAGTTATGCCTTCAGTAAGGTGTTGCCGCTTTTAAGTTCCACTTTATTTAAGCCTTTTGTTTGAGTGAAAGACCCTCTATGGAGTCGGCTCTGCAGTTAAACCAACGATGGCATACCGATTAATATCGTGGTTAATATGAATTACAAATGCAACATGCTAAGCAAGCAAAAGAGTTAGCTGGTAAGCTAGCATATGTTACGCTAATGGTGATTGGCCTATTTTTCATCAGTTCAACTCTCTCGTCAAAAGATGGTCCCAGCTGGCTCCAAAAAAACGACTTGTGCAATTTAAGCTTCAAAATGATTGTGTAACAAACTGCTGATGTCTAACCCCTACAGGGACCATATCCACTTCCTATACAGTATATGGTTTTTTAACACAGGCAGGAAACTGAACATGCTCTACATGTTGGGTCATGGTTCAGCCTTGTGTTGTATTGTAATGTTTTCTAATCAAGACATTTTGGAAAAATCTGCTTATTCACATTCTTGTTGAGGAGTAGTTTGTGTCTCATTTTCAATTTATTGAGCAAATAACTGTCCCTGTTAAGGTTGATGAACTTATAGAAAGCTTTAGCTAATTAACTAGCGGATTAACAGCCAACCTAACTAAACATTAAGAATCAATATACAGTTCTGTCAGATATATAAATAATTAATTCTCTCCAAATTGCTTTGGATTTCTTTATACCTCGAACTCCAATGTGGAAGATTTATATGTAGTGCAATACATTTCTCTAGTTATAGTTTTCAACGTGTAGCTTATGCATTGCACTTGCTGTTCCTGATATGTATGTGTGGAAAAAGCACAGCTTCCTGTTTTCCGTACCCCACATTCCTCTTTGTGAACCGTATGCTAACATTGTGGCTGTATTTGATGTAACTTCATCAAAACAGCAATACAAACTCCTGTGTAACAGTGACTTCCAGCAGGCTGTATACAGTCTGTATTGGAGTGGATGTAATAACCATGTACACAGTAAGCCGCGGCTGTGCTGGAGTGTGTGTGATAATTAATTCCAAATGTTGCGGCCCCCAAATTAAAGCCAGTGGCTTCAGCACAAAGCAGCCTGTGCTTATCAGCCCAAAACAGGTCAGCGTTCGATACCGCCTTTCATTCACCCTCCTCTCCTCTTCACCTCCCCGCATCCTCTGTGCCTCCCACTCTCCCCGCATCCTCAGCTGACATAGGCTCGTCTCCCGCTAATCCTCTCGTTACTGAAAAGAGATGGGGTTGAGAAAATGTGAGGGAGGTGGAGGGTAGTGAGGCAGAAAGAGAGGAAGAGGAGAGGAAGAAGGAAGGGAGGGAGGCAAAGACTAAATTAAAGACTCCTCTATTAAAACCACAGCCTCTGGAGCCGAGTGACTTGAAGAACAATCGTGTGTGTTTGCCCTGATGCTGCTGTATACTCCGAGCTTTCTATCTATACATCTACACCGAGGGCCACTGATATTTATCTCACTCGCTGTCCTTTGCTGCATCTCTTCCTCTCTTCTTTTCTCTCTCTCCATATCTCTGTCTCTCTGCCTCACAGCATTAGCTGCAATTGAAGCGTGTTGAGATGGAACACATTATGAGCTGGCCTACATGGCTGGCAGCTGTGTGCATGTGTGTGTATGCGTGTGTGTTAGTTTACATGTGTATATTTGGTTAAAAAAAACTGCATGCAAGGTCTCCAACCATGTGCACTAGATTAAGAAGGTTTTGAAAACACAACATGTATTCAAATCTGTGTGCTTGTTTACATTTCCAGTCGGATTCCCTTAACTGCAAGTCATACGTTGAGTTAGCCTTGGTTTGTCAGTACATCAATCAGTAATAGCGAGTACTGACATGCATTGGAAAGATGTCCTAGAATATTCCCTCTGGATATAACAAATTAAAACATGTTTTGGACATCATCCATTGGTATTATAGTGATTATGATTTTAACTGAAACCTAGTAATTCATTTCAGGTTCTATTTCTTCCTATAAATCCTCAAAACATAATCTTACGATAGCTCCATGAGTTGGTTGAATATGCAGTCTCTGACTTATGTTTCAACGTTTCCCACTGCCTTGTTTTAAATACGCATGTTGTAACAATGAACTTAATGGATGCATGCATAACAGAGGCTGAAGTTGCATGTTTCAACAAATATTTTTGTTATTGCATTTAATCTTGACAGGGTTAACTAAAACTAAAGTTAACACAATTACTAAACATAATATTGGAAATGAAATCCAACCATGCACATTTGAGTGTTGAACGACGCCTCTCTTGAGACGTTCAGAGTGGATATCATGCCCGAGAAGGTGAGGTGGATCTGGGGGTCCCTGGATGGAGGGAGCTCCCCTCAGGCGGTGGAGAGTTGGCAGATGAAGGTAGGAGATGCAACGCCGGTTTGAAGTTCCTGTGATCTTGAACGCTCTCCTGTCCCTCTCTGTCTCTCTGGTTGTTGTTTCTTCTGCCTTGTCAAATAGCAGAACGCTTGCATCTTGATTTTCTACCTTCAGAAGAACCAACATTATGACTTTGATGGATTCTCCTCTTCTTTAGTCCTGTCTCTTTCTCTCCCTCCTCTTCCTCATACTGGGGCTTCAGCTGTTTGTGTTTGTCAAACGCTCGTGGTGTTAGAGGTTCAGACTCTGTGGATGTATTTATGGCTGTGGATTTTCTGGGTTCGCCCCCTGTGTGGTTTTCTCTGTGACCGCTGCTCAGTGATGTGAATATTTATGTGGCCAGCTTTTATTTGATCATTCTCCCTCTCTGCTGCTCTCTTCATCCCTCTTTACCTCACGAATCTGCCCCTCTATCTGGGATTATATGTTGTTCAATGATATTTGCTTACACATGTGGCTGTTGAGTTTGTTTTTGTAACAGTTCCTGGCCCAAATATGGTCATTCCTGATTCCAAACAAAAAACTTAAGGGCTTCAAAACGTCTTCAAAAGTCTACAAATGTACCACTTTTATTTTAAATGGCTTATTTTGCTCAGTCATTTGCCCTATATGATCCAATGTGTTCAAAGTTGAAAATGGCCACATTGGGGATAATGTGCATAAAGATTTCCTTTACTTTTAATAATGATTGGGAGGGTTACTTTACTAGTTACCTGTAAAAAAAATGTTGGTTTTGTGGTAACATTATAATGTACTTAAGGGAATACTTGTTTTTTGGTATCGTGATTACTTAATCCCGTTTCACGTAATCCGTTACTCCCAAAGCCTGCTTTTAATACACCCAAACTAAATTGATTGATGCTTGTCACTAATCTGTACATGCCTTGGACATGAAGTATATGGATGTCCACGACCAATCTTGGTGTAGGAGTTTTAAATATCCTGTGACACTCACACACACACACTCTCTGTACTTCTCCTCACTCTTTGGAGAACATCCTACAGGCCATACATGCCGTTCAGTGATATGTGAATGCCATCTTTACTTTGGTGTGTGCTGTGATGCAGAGCCTCACAGCTCCATCAGCGCACATGTGAAGCTTCAATAAGAACCAACTCTCCAAACACACTATGTCAGTGTGAGTGAATCAAATGGCAGCCGTTCGCTTTTACCGCATCTAACTCTCCCCTCCCCCACTCACTGACATACACTCCTCCATCTTTAACACCCAGCTCGCTCTTTTCTTTCCTCTGTCCATCCACCCACTGAGCCAAGCATTAACAATGCCCTGCCCCAGAGTAACCCTCAATCCACTACCACATGCACACACACACACACACACATGCACACACAGTTTTCCCCTCACCTCCCACATGAAGTCACAGTTGCCTGTACTAGTCTCTCTCTTGTTCCTGTCTTCACGCATGTCCCTTGGCATCCTTCCCTCATCCTATATCTTAGTATTGGCTCCCTCATGTACTTCCTTTCCTCATTCTTCCACTTTATCCTTGAATTGAATTAACATGCTGTATTATATTTCTGACTTTGAGA